TTCTTTACGTCTTTCCAAGTGTTGTGTGGTGGGTGGAGGGGGTTTTTGCATTTATCACGGGGTGGGATGGATGAGGCAAGGCATTTAACTGGAGCTGTGGTTGCGCTGAGCTATGCTAACAGCTGGAGGCTCTTGGGGTGTTGACTCCAAAGGAAAAGATATGATTGCATTACTACTGGCATCCAATATTTGTTTTCAGTATTTTTAATAAGATGGAGACCGATAAGGAAACATATGTTATTTCAAGGGGTTTTTTAATAACTTTGGGAGCAAATGGTTTGATTGTACTTGTCTAGCTGGAAAAGTCAGCACTATTTTAAGTTTTTAATGATAATTAGGAGAATTGAGGAGGCATCTTACTGTGATTACCATGAAAATAATGCAGGTATATTTTCTGCATTTTTTTACTGTAGTCTCAAATGCAAACAAGTTCAGCCCAAGAATCTGGAAATTGTCTAGCAAAAACCTATTTGATCTCACAGTGAGATATCTAGGGAGGAATACTACCACGTTACAAAAAAACCCTAAACACATAGTTATGCAAAACCATGATTCATTTAGATAAGTTCATAAATAAAAAGCTGTCAGCATTATAGAGCAGATGAACACCAAACGGAAAAACTTCCATGCAGCTTGAGGAGCAATGATGGTGCAAGGAGCTGCTGTTGTCTGGGAATCTGTTTGGTCTCCCTTCAGATGGCCCATCCTCGAGGGACAGAGAGAGGTAGTTCACCCTTCATCTCTGATGAGACTGCCAAACTGTGTTAGTGACTTTCCTCGTACCACCTGAGAATTAGAACAGATTTGAGAACAGGACCTTTTTTCCCCATGTTCTTTGACAGGTTACTGAGAAACAAGCAGTTGCGTGACTACTTATCTTAGAGGTATTTAATTCTGTACGCTACAAGAAAAGCTTTATGTTGTAGTATTTATCACTTGAGCTTATACTTTACTTCCCTTCAGATATGGCACACTAGAAATAGCACACTGCTTGTTTATATTATCATAGCCTCGTTTTTCTTGTTTGCAAGCACCTGACCACTCATTCCTAAAGGATTATAATTACTAGTTCTGCCACTCAAAATGTTGTCTTAAATATTTATTTCCTTTAATTGTGGATTGTTAATTTTTTTTTTTTTAATTGACTGAAAAAGTTTACATATAGTGGAAAAGTACCTAATAGGTGGCTGAACTTTCATACTGCATCTGTAGGGCTTGCTTTGGAGCTTTCTTCATGTTTGAAAAGGGGAATTAAAAAGAAAGATACTTTTCTGACTGATAATGTTGCCCGTGAGCTCTCCTCCTTTCTGTAGAAAGGGAATGGAACAAAACAGCATAAACTGGGCTGGTTCTGATGAAGTACTGCTGGAATGAAGTAAATTGGGAAATAACTACCCACTGCTGCTGGGCAACTTTTTTCTACCAGTGATGACTTTAGTATTTAAAGTAAAAAGATAACTTCTTTATCTTGTTGAAGATCATGTCAAAATAAAGACTTCATGTCTGTTTGAAGGGAAAAGGGGGCTTAATTCCTTATAGTTAGCTAAGCAGTTAATATATATATATTTTTTTTTTTTACAGGAAATCTAAATTTAATAGAAGACCCCAGGGAAATTCAAGGGTGTGAACAATAAGCATAATATTTTATTAAAATGACCCCCATATTTAAAATCTGGCATTATATGTTATGCATTGTAGCACCAAGTCCACATCTACCTTTTAGAAAATTAAAACACATAAATTCTGTTTAGTGTTTGATATGCACTGCACTAGCTGAAAGCCATAATGCCCCTAAAACCTTGGGTTGCTTTTCACCTTTCATAAATTCCTGGGTAGATTCTATACAAAAAATAATTTTCAGCTCCGTGGCTCATTGTTATTCAAACTTGATTGATCGTCGTCATTTACTCAGTGAGGAAGTTAAGTGCTCCTGTCATTTCCGAAGAGTATAATTGGGACGTTTCACAGGTCAGCGGTAGTGACAGGTTTCCCTTTTGATTAGTGTTAGACTGATAACAAAAATTACAGTTTCCTATGATTAATGTTTTCTATAGTACTTGAATGCACAGTTCATGGATTGTACCTAAACAAAGTGAATTTGCATCTGATTATGCCTTTTCTCCATCAGGCTTTTCACGTGCTTTAAAGTTTTAGACCATGCAGGTAATACAGCAGAATTGCTTCTAATGCAGTTTTCAAGTTGAGGATTAGTGAAGCCCACTGGATTTTATTATATTAATGTACAGACAGCTACGTGCCCCCAAAGGCATGTGAACAAATTAGGAGAAATTTCAATTAAAGACAGTACTCTTCTGAATTCTTTCTAGTCCTCTCAGATATGCCATGCACGTGGGTACTTGTATTATACCCACTGATACTTTAGGTATAATGTGGTAATTTAAGTTAAATGATCAGTCTGAACTGAGTCTTTCTCTTCCTAGTTTGACATTATTTCTCGATTCCTTAAACCTGTTGCTGTTTATTTGTTTACAGACTACTTTGGAAATACCCTGTTTTGTAATGTGAAAGTCACCTTTTACATCATGGCACAAAGTTGTAGACTAAGATCATCCATGACAAGTTTTAGTTTGGTGAAATATTTTTTAATAGCTAAATTAGAAATGGAACCCGAGTATGGAAAATACGATGTTGTCCTGCTTCTAGGTGGAGAAATAGGAGCAGATGTTATTTCTGAACTTAATTAAATTACCCCTAACAGATAAAAGGGGGATGACACCACCAGAATTTTGAAACCAAAACACAAATGAACAAACTTCTCTGCACAACAGAAGGCAGCTAGAGGCTGAAGAGTACAAAACCTGATGATGTTTTTCTTTCCGAAGGCCATTGGGAAGGTCTTCTAAAAGTTGCAGATTAACACAGATGTTCTTTCATGTCCAGTGCCTTTGTGAGTTTGTGATTAGTGGTAGAATATTTGACCCTACCTTTGCATTAGAACTCTATTTTGGTTTCTGCTGTGGAGGTCAGGTTCAGCGTGCATCTGTCTTGGCTGTGCCAGGTAGGGCCTGAATTGCTTCTTTCTTTTAGATGAGGAAAAATGATTGCAGTGGGAAATGAAAAGTAAACCAGGGTGGAGGATCCTCCAGCGTAGGGTGGAGGATCCTCCAGCGTAGCCTGAAGGTTGGCAGTTCTCGAGGTAGTGGTAGTGGGGCTGACGAGAGTACGCTGTGGCTGTTACCGGTCTTTGGCAGCAGGGTGCTTCCAAACATGACTATGCTGGGACTTTAATTTAAAATGAAGACTAATTAGGTGTTCTCTGGTAAGAGTGCAGTAGTAAATCTACTCTATTCTTTAGAACAGTAAATCTTTTTTTTTTCCTTTTTGTTCACTGGTCCTGCAGCTTTCTTAAATCAAAGTCATTTTTTAAACAAAGGGAAGATTTGTACTTCTAACTTGCACCATCCATTCATTATATCTTAAAGTGTATCAATATGTTTATTAATATCAATTAATGATCTTTATTAGAAATTAGTTCAGACCAGCTTACAAGTAATACTGACTAAAAAGAAAGGCTGGGGTTTTTCATTATTTATTTTAAATTTTTAACTACATTCAGTAAACCAAGACGGGTTTCTAGTTTTTTTTGGCTTCAGAGTATATGTATGATTTAAAGGAACTCATCTGTGCAGCTGTGACACACGATTAGGGTAGTGAATTAAATTGGGAAAATTCTGCTGCAGGCAAAACCTGCAGTATCCTCCGGTGCTTGTAACAATGAGCAGTTGATATGAATATCAACGTAAGTCAGATGCAGTAAGAGAAGTAAAGAATGCAGCTGAAAATAGTAAAAATGATAGCATTCCTTATCTATTGCTTTGGCTTGCTGCAGTGAAGTTGAAAAAAAGTGATAGCCTGTGGTAAGGTTGGCTTTAGTGGATACCTTATTGTTTCCTAGACTTGTGAAAGTGCATGGCAAACATACAATAATGTGCTACTTGTGGTGTTATTAAGAATTAGGTGACTCCCAAGGTGGGCGAAGGAAATAAAGCGTAAAGCCTTCGTCATTGCTGCCTTTTTAGGGTAGCTGGCATTTGCTATTTTAAAGTTCTGATAGTACAGGCCATGTCTGAGGTGGCACAGACTCTTTTAGCTTAGGTGTAGTATAGAAGAAAAATTCATTTTCAGGGCTGGAACAAGCTTAGAAAAAAACACGTAGGGACTTGCTGGCACATATACAGCAGTAGCTAGCTGAAACGATATATAGGAAGCCACTTACGTGAATGAATTGCCCTGGTTAGCCAGTAGGAACTCCATTTTTATGGTTCAGCCAGTTGTAGATACTCACTTTCAGACTGCAATATAGACCAAGTGCACGTTTTTAAAATCCCATTTTGTTGGTTTTGACCATAGTAATGTGTGCAGTCTAATTGTGTGAATGGTTAGGACGGACTGAATTAGTTAATAAATGAATGTATTAAATTATTTTTAGTGCTGTTGTGAAGAAACACAGTGAAACTCTGTAGTATACAGATCTGAATATTCTTTGTTTGGTCAGTATTAGCTTGCCAGTCCCTCAGCTTCCCCTCCTGTTTGCCTGCTCTGGTTTTGAGCTTCTAAACAGTTTGTGATACTATTTAACATGCCACAGACTATTTGGGTGCAGCTAACAACCAAAGGAGAAGAGATAAAGCTATAATTTGCTCATTAAGTCAAAATCTTGATGTTATGCTAAGATTTTTTTGGTCTTACTTTATAGCTTCACACTTTCTCAGACTTCACCAACTTCATGTGTTCTAATGGATAAAAGGGGCTTTAAAGAAGCCCTTAGGATAGAGCATGGCTTTAGAGATAAAATGTTAAGCAAAGGCCTAATCTTAGGTAAAGATTAAATACATAATTAGGGAAATACTTTTGACACGGAGCAGTCTCAGTAGGGCTGTCAAGATGTCTGCTAAATATTTTCAATGTGAAGGGAAATGGAAAGCTACCTTCACATTTAAAAAAAAAACCAAAACGAAACAACAAAAATATCTCTGTAGATGAAAGCCTCGGATGATGACGACGACGAGGATGAAGATGAATTTGTGGAGGTCCCTGAGAAGGAAGGTTATGAGCCCCACATTCCAGACCACCTGCGTAAGGAATATGGTGAGTTTGCCCAGCTGTGACAAGCTTTATCCCTGCATGTTACTGCTGCACTAAAGTAAATAAACAGCCATTCTGAAGTAATAAAGTGATCAGCGGTGTGGGTAATCTCCGACTGCTACGAGGAAGTCATTACATAGATATGGGGGCGGCAATTGGCTCTAGATAAACAAATACTTTCTAGGAGCAAGAGCAATGGAGACGAGAAGCTTATTTAATTCCATCATGTTCCACTGTAGTTTAGAGCCAGAAGCAGCACCATATATGCTTATAAGTGTGCTAAAAACATACTGGGAGTGAAGGGATTGCAATGGAAAGCTGTAAATGAGCCTGAATATTAGGAATACTGGTAACAGTCTGCTGAGATGGGATAAGGTTTTGTACTGTCACCCGCATTAATAGCAGTTGGAGATGTGCAGCCACTTCTTCCCGTAGGGTGGCCAACTTACAGCTCAGAAGGAAGGCTTTTTTTTGTTTGGATGTTGCTATCACAAGTGCAGAATTATAGCCACTGAGCACATAGCAGATGACAAAATATAGTCTTGCCTTCTTTTAATGCATTCTAAAGATAATTTTATTTAAAAAAAAATACGTGATTTTGTGAAATGGAGAGGGGAGTCACAGAGGAAGGTTCATCATAAAGTTCAGTGCTTTGTACATCTAGCTTATTTAGCATCTGCACCTTTGCCTCTGTGCACCATTGTATATGTTAAGATTCAGAAGCTTTCAGTACATTGTAGAGGAGACGGTAGCTGCCATCACATAGAAGTTAAAAACCTTGGATGCTGTAACAAGTTTCTTGCTCCTGCATTTCTCCATGTGTATTTGTGTAAGACTGGGGCTGTATTTTGCCCTTTTCAATCCTGTTCATGCTTATTTTTGAACTTACCTGTGGTTTGCATCATAAAAGTCAAGCTGCAGCTGTTACTTTTATAAGCCAATTGTTTCTTTTTGCTGAAACAAGGGGGTGTGCCTGTGTAAACCCAAGATGATGTAGCTCAAGCGACCTCTTTACTGTCTTCTGCCATCAAATTTGACCACAGACAGTGAAATATGGTCAGTAATGTTAACCTGTAGTGACTGGGGCCAGCTCAAGGATGTCTCCAGCTGTGAAGTTCTGCTAGTCTCTAGACTCTGAATTTTAGAAAAGCAAAATTCCAGCTCCTCAAGGAGATAGTCAGAAGGACTCCCTGGGAAATGGTCCTCAGGGACAGGGAAGCAGAACAGAGCTGGCGGATCTTTAAGGATGTGATCCACAGAGCGCAAGAGCTCTCGATCCCTAGCTGTAAGAAATCGGGCAAAGAAGGGAAGAGACCGGCGTGGTTGAGGCAAGAGATGCTGGTCAAACTAAGGAGGAAGAGGGAACTGCACAGGCAGTGGAAGCAGGGACAGGCATCCTGGGAAGAGTACAGGGACGCGGTCCGGTTGTGTAGGAATGGGGTCAGGAAGGCCAAGGCGCAGCTGGAGCTAAACTTCGGTAGGGGTGCAAAGAATAATAAGAAGGGTTTCTACAGGTATATCAGCTGGAAAAGGATGGTTAAAGAAAGCATACCCCCGCTGATGAGCGAGACCGGCAAGCTG